TGTGTGTGTGTGTGTGTGTGTGTGTGTGTGCGCATGCGTGCGCGTGTGTTATCTGACAGTATAAGTAGCACGAATAGACGCTCATGCAGATAAAATAAATCCGTCTTTCATTATTTGACTCGGACAAGAATCTACCTGGTGGTCCCAAAAAATAAAATCTTTCCTTTCATTAACTGGGAGATTTATTCATACTCACGAAAACAACATTGACATAGTCATCATCAGACAGAGTCTCCAGCATCTCACTGACAGATGTTCGAATCAGTTTGAGGGTTAAACCAGACACACTCCCACTCCTTAAAAAAAAGAAAAGGAAAAAAAAGATAAGATGAGTTTTGACTTTACTACTTGTGCTTCAAAAAGAAAAATCCAATCTGATGTGGCAAATCTAGATACAAAAGCTGCACTCACGCATCCACAAGGATTAACATGTCTTTGGGTGAGGCAGCTCCTTGAATGTACCTTCATGAATAAAAAAACAAACAAAAGAAATCCTGAGCTGTGATCTTTGATCTCTCGCTCTCTCTCTCTGAACAACAGAAAGCTTGTTGAAAGCCAAGGATTTTTATAGTGGTTTACAATTGCAACACTTTTATTTGTACAATTTCAAGACTAGCAGGAAAGAATTTTGTCATTAAGTTAATAAAAAAAATGTGCATGATAACAGTAGGAGAAACACAAAACAAGTTTTTTTTTATTGTCCTGATGCATCTCAAGTTTTTTATTATTTTTATTTTATTTATTTTTTACTTTTGCACTGAATCATAAAGTTAAAATTTACAATTGATTTAAAATCCATTTTTAAAATAAATGAATTCATTTGGGGGAGACAGATGGTTTTCACTCATGGGCTGGATGCAGCCCGTGGGCCACAGATTTGAAAGCCCTGCATTAATAGTTTTAAAATGCCTTTTTCATGAATTACTTGAACTATTTTTTGCACTGGGCTTCAAATAAAAGTCGTGTTTTTTTCTCATTTTCTTTTATGTCTTGTTATAAAATTCAATCCCACTAATTAAATGATCACAAGGCACGAGGCCTATAAAAGGTTTGCTTCTGACTGACATTGAATAAACCCTGAACAGTATGTATTTATACTCGGTTTCTTACCACGGTCTTCTGCGGACATCATACAGATCAATTTTACTGGGAGTCTTTCGAGCATCCATCCAAGGAGAGGCTAGAAAAGGTGATCGCATGTATATGATTAGATTTTTTTTTGCTATAATTAAATTTAGCTAATTATCACTTAAGCTTATTTCTGTCTCATTTCTGACACATTCCATTGCAAGACTAACAAAACCTGGCAGCATGCAGTGCCAAGCAGTGAGTCACTGCCAGACATGATAAGTCATATTTTATAACGACAGTTGGCTTGTTGGATTGATTCCTAAATTTATCACATCTACATGGTGACACATACGATGATCGCAAAAATTACTGAACAGGAAAATGGGAGAAAAAAATTAAATAAAAGGATAAAATATTTATCCAAGCTAAGGTATGCAGAGCATGGGACGAGCTTGTTTTCTACCTGCATTCCATCAGGGAGGGGACATAACAACAAGTCAGTACAAGGGCGTGTGATAATCTGTCATGCATGCTAAGAAGTAAAATAAATAAATAAAAATAAAAAGGAAAAATACATTTGTGGAAAAATTGAATTCAAGCAGTTTCAGACATCTTTTCGGCAAAGCTATTACAAAGAATGATGGATTTTTTTTATTTGTAGAAATAACTAGACTGAAAAAAGCAGATACTATTAGTGTGTGCCATCACATAGAAAAAGAGGCTAGACAAAAAGTATGGACAAATGAATGTATTTGATGAAAATTATGATGAAAAATCCCAAACTGCATTATAAAATAGTCACATGAGGGGTCAATAAGTCATGAACTGATACTGATTAAAGGAAGCCGACACACTTTCAATATTATGAGTTCACATTTTGAACATAACAGCGTTGTGGTTTTGTTTTGTTTAGCTTTTGGGGGGTACCTGGGTAATAGCGAGCCAGGCCTGTAGCACTGCCAAACACTTGCCAAAGAAGTGTTGGGTCATCTTCTCTATTCTTTTTGAAGACATCCTCCAGTGCTTCTGTCCAGTTGAGTTCATTCAGCACAATGGTAGCTGACAATAAGAACAAAGAAAATTGAAACAAACAGAAAAAAACATACTGCATGTCAAAAAGCAACATCTTGAACACAAGGCAGTCAAGTCTGAGAAGAACATAAGTTTCATAGCCAAAGTCCAAAATTTAGAGATTCATATTTTATCAATAAAACGACCATATAAATATAATTTAAGACATGTTTCATACTTATAAGGCTGCTTGAAATGCAGAAATTGTGCTTATTTAACTTTGTGAAATCTCAGAACACAAGACATTAAAACATTCAAAGATTTTCTTATAGTGCATTGGACATTTAGCCGTAGACTAAATCTGGTTCAATGCGTCAAATGTTTTTATGTTTATGTTTTAATTGCACATTGTCCTTATAAATAAAATTCATTCATTCATGTTCCAGACCTTTGTAACTAAGAGGATATATTATCCATTCTCTGCCATTAAATTAGAAAGAATAAGACAGAATCCCATTAGAAAGAAACCAAAGACATGTGGTCATCCCAGATTAACATATTCATTGGGATTCACACACTGACTCACTCGGTCTCAGCCCGTTCACCCAGCAGGACGTATAAGCAAATATTTGTTCAGCACACTAGCAAGTGCCTGCATTTAGTCGTAAATAAAAGAAATGTTACTAAGGAACATATTATGGCTGTGCTCTGACCAAAATTAAACAGTATTTCATTTTTATAGTTTTTAATATTTAAAACACCCAACAGGCCTTGTCTCTCGGTGTGTATTAGTGCATGTGCGTGATTGATAATGTATGTTGTAAAAGGCAACAGCCATTATGGATGTAACGGCACATCACCCAGACAGTTTAGAGCCATATAATCCTGACTATGATTGATGGAGGTACAACATGTGCTACCCCAAATTAATCTTTTTCTTTGCTTTTTCTGTCTGCTTGTTTTCTGTTTATAATTGTCCATTTGTTGTTTTTTTTCCCTCTCATTATATCATCTGTATGTAAAATATTTTCTCTCTACGTATGGCGGTGATATACGCTGTATCTATGCAGGAATGATGCAGGTTTGAAACACACATCCTGTATCTTGTATATGGTGTGACGTTGCTCATTGATGTGCAAAGCAAACACTGTTCATCTGTGTGCCAGTCTCTCGAGGGTAGATTTAATGAAGGCTAGTCTGCCAAGAGTGTATGCGCATTTTGTTATGAAAAGACTGCAAAAAGGCATGCGGCGTTTGGTTTGTGTGGTGCAATTAACAATTCGTTTCACTCATTAGGCACAATGGGCCTCATGCAAGAACCGTTCGTTCGCACAGATTTGTTCTTAAGTTGTGCGTACGAATGATTTAGGAGAATTTGTGGCATTCACCAATGTTTTCGTAT